GTGTCTGTATAAAAATGTATAAAGGCGTTGTGTCATCATGTATTCCAATAAGATTACAACGCGTAGGAATGGCCAGAATGGCCTTATCAGGGCCCATACGATACTACATATATATACAATATATATGATATATGATTTACTATTACATGATATAATGCGAATTCAATATTTGCGAACTGAATGCGAGGTGATTTATAGAGGATATAAAATAAAATATATAGTCGTAAAGGACAATGTATATATATATATATATATATATATATATATATATATATATATATTAGGGTGGTCCTTAAAATGGTCATTTTCGAATTTCCTTGCTCCCAGGGGCTCAAATGGTTCCAAATTGATAAAAAACAATTCTCTGGAAGTTTTAGCTCTTAATATTAACATTTAGATAGAGCGCATTTCAATCAAAGTTTGTATGGAAAGACCATAGAAAAAATTTTGAAAATTTAAAAAAAATGTTTTAGGTATAACTTAGCGACAAATGAATGAGTTTTATTCATTTATTTGTTCGTTAAATTACATCTAAAAAACATTTTTAAAGTTTTTGAAATTTTTTCCATGCTATTTCCATACAAAACTTTGATTGAATTGCGCTCTATCTAAACGTTAATATTAAGAGCTAAAACTTTCAGAGAATTGTTTTTTATCAATTTGGAACCATTTAAGCCCCTGGGAGCAAGGAAATTCGAAAATGACTATTTTAAGGACCACCCTAATATATATATATATATATATATATATTGCCTGGCTGGCCGGGGAAACAGTATTTTGTCATATTTTTAGTATAAAATATTTTGTATAGAAATAACCGTTTGCAAATGTGGTATATAAGAAAAAGCTCATATAAGGACAGAATAGCTAACAAAAAATATATGAATAGTTTACCCACTGCAAAGCATGCCATATATGTGTTCCTAGGTCATATTAAATTTTTGCAAGAGCCAACCTAATTTGTATATTTTTTTATTAATTTGATGCACATTTAATGAATAGTTTTACGAAGTAAAGGGTTCTAAGTATTTTGGAATTTTGAATTATAGAATATCTATTTTTTTTATTTACCATTAAAATTACAATCTATTCATTAGTGTAGACATTTAGTAATTGATATGTTATAATATATAGTTTAGTTAATAAAAATTAAAAAAAATTGTGAAAAAGAATTTTAGAAGTTATCAAGCTTTGATAAAAATAAATAGTATTTTGAAGTAAAAAAAATTGTATGAATTTTTTAATTCCAGACTACAAAAATTAAAAGAAAATTGACCTTTGTAAAAATGTATTAAGGTTCGACAACCTTTGCTAAAAATAAATTGTTTTTTAAAGTAACATTTATTCATTTTCATATACTCAAGAAAATATTGACCAAAACTATGTCAAATAAAGGTCAAATTAAAACTAAAAAAGAAATGATTCTAAAATTTAAAAAAATAGGGGTGGACAACACTTGATAAAAATAAATAGTATACAAAGAGTTTTATATATTCTGTCAATTTCGCTTTATATATTTTTTTCGTCAAATAAAATAAAAAAAGTTGACATCAAAATTAAAAAAGTATTAGGATTAGACAACCTTTAATAATAACAAAATTGTATTTTAAAGTAAAATTCAAGCTTTTTTTTTCAAGCTCAAAAATCTGAACCAAAATTGTGTCAAAAATATTTAATAAATAAACGCTGGATACAAAATTATCATTATACTAAAATGGCTCTAAAAATAGGGGTTGGCTATATAAAAGTGAAAATTTAGGATAGAATATATTTTAATGCCACATTATGAAAAAAATTAAAACAATTATTCCATCTAAAAATTACAATAAAAAATATAAAGATGAACTACCCTTATCACTTAGGGGTATGAAAAATATAATAGCTGTTTCTTAGACCTACCTAAAAAAAATCATTTAGAGTTCGAATATTAGATATTTTCGACAGTCTGAATCCACAGATATAAATGAGAATGAAAAACTTTCAAAAAGTTTCAAAATTAAAAAAAATCAAATTTCAAAAAGTTAGAGTAAGAGTGTTAAAATGTCGGTTAGAATACAAAAGTGTGTATTGTTTAATGCATGTTTAGTTATTAAAATTAGAACGGATTTTTAGAATGTTTCTTAAGGTCGTTCTATTGTATAAACAAGTGTCAAAATGTCAATTTCTTTCCAAAGAGCTTTATATTACTGGAATCTGACTAATTTTATATTCGAAAACCAGTTGAAAATTGATGAAATACCAAAATTAAAAATCTCAAGTCAAATCTTACCTTAAGCTACATGCCATAAGGCAAAATGCCCCTTGCACCCAATTAAATATTTTACGTTTTCCAACAAAAGTTGGAGTATACAAAAAAATGAATATAATTTTCTCTGTATTATATATAATACAAATGGATTGTAGAATTTTCAATGTAATTCGCCCTTAGGCAAAATACTATAAACTAGTTTATATTTCAAGGGAAGGTCTTGGAAAGTTTTGAGGCTACTTTACAAGGCCAGAATTCAAATGAAAGTTTGTTTTGTTGAATAAAGTTTTCATAGAAAACTTTGCATTATGAATGAATTATATATATATATATATATATATATATATATATATATATATATATATATATATTACAAAAAACCCTTTTCATGCTAATTAATTTTCCATTACATTTTCAATCAATTCTATTTCTGATTTAATTCAAATCCGTCAAAAATATCCTTTTCCTCATTTTCTTACATCTCGAAAATAAAATGATCTGTCACAAACATTTTCAGTATTACAAATGTAATTGATAGATGTTTTTATAAATAGGAAAAATAAATATGGGGTTTCATAATTAGTTTTTAATTTTAGAATTGACGAGAAATGGAAAAATGGTTTTGAGAGATTGCAATAAATGGTTTTGACGTATTCGATTTGATTAGATTATTATTATTGAAATGTAAAAATTTGAGATAAAATGATTTTTTGTTTCCCATTTTAGAATCTTGTGGTTTTTTAATTTAGTGGAACCGAAATATAGTCTAACTAAAAATTAATATTGAAATGAAAAACTTGAGGAAAAATTTGGCTATAAGTGTCCAATTAGATAAATTCACGATTTTTTTAGCTTAAATTACTTCTTAATTTACTTACTATTTAATTTTATTTCTTTATTAACACAGTTAATATATTTATGTTTTGATAAATTAACCACATGTTTATTAAACTTTTTTTTTCCTAGGTCATATTAATAATATTTGCAAGAGTTTTAACAGAATTCCATTCATTATTATTATCCTATATTTAATCACTTTGTCATTTTCAAAACCACCGAAGACAGTAATAGAATATCTGGTGTCCCATGTATGTAAAACTATTTTCCAATCTCTATTTGAAGTTCTAGTGCCCCCAATTACCCTCCAAACAGTGCAAATTTAGATTTGCAAAGACGTCATCGTCCAACCATTGTGGTGATATAATTTAGTCAAACAAACTCTGAAAGCGATGAAAACATTATAGATTGATGTATGTGTATAGGGGAGACCGGGATACATACTTCTGAACAGAAAACAATTATAATTTACTTCGTATATTTGATCAAATTAACCTGCACATCTACTTATACAACCAAAAGAAATATAGGTAAAATAGGTAAAAAATTGATATTTGCAAGTTAGTCAAAAAGTTTTATTTTTTTCTATTAATTTTAATGCTTTATCAATATAAATTAACCTCAAACAGTTTTACTGCAATCTAAGTAAGCACAATATCGAGGTAATATCTTTTAATATTGAGTCATGTCAGTCGTATGTGTGACATTTGGACACCAAAATTTTTTGAATATCGAAGCTTTTTTGGATTTGGATTTCGCCATTATTATTTTTCGGCGTTATTAGATTCCGCCATTTTTAGTTTCCGCCATTTTTAGTTTCCGTCACATTTAGATTCCGCCATTTTTAGATTCCGCCATTTTTAGATGCCGCCATTTTTAGATACCGGGATGTCGGAATTTTAATTACCGGAATTTTGATATACCGGAATTTTGATATACCGGAATTTTGATATACCGGAATTTTGATATACCGGAATTTTGATATACCAGAATTTTGATATACCGGAATTTTGATATACCGGAATTTTGATATACCGGAATTTTGATACACCGGAATTTTGATAAACCGGAGTTTTGATAAACCGGAGTTTTGATAAACCGGAGTTTTGATATACCGGAATTTTGATATACCGGAATTTTGATATACCGGAATTTTGATATACCGGAATTTTGATATACCGGAATTTTGATATACCGGAATTTTGATACACCGGAGTTTTGATGTACCGGAATTTTGATATACCGGAAGTTTGATATACCGGAATTTTGATACACCGGAATTTTGATACACCGGAAATTTGATACACCGGAATTTTGATAAACCGGAGTTTTGATGTACCGGAATTTTGATATACCGGAAGTTTGATATACCGGAATTTTGATACACCGGAATTTTGATACACCGGAAATTTGATACACCGGAATTTTGATAAACCGGAGTTTTGATATACCGGAGTTTTGATATACCGGAATTTGTAGGTACCAATATGTAACTAAAATGTAATATAGAAACCGGAATTTTGAAAAAAAAATTCTTCGATACAATTAAAATTATCCTATCAACTTATAATGTGAAATATTTATAATTTCTTGATTCTATTCCTAAGTGTGTCCATAAACCCCGGTCTCCTCTATAAAATATTTCAATGTATGTTCGATGGTCGTTCGAGTAAGAGTACGAGTACGTATAGATAGATCTATTTGCTTCCTGGAATGAGTTTCTCTCATCTTGGAAAATCGACTATAAATATTTGCTATCGAGAGAAGAGAGACATTGTCATTGTCGCTCTTATATTTACATATCGATCACACCATCATTTACGTATCCTACGCAAATTAAAATCTACAAAAAAATTAGAAAAAAAATATAGAAAAAATAGAACAATTTATTGAAATTTTGTTTTTTTCTTCTCAGGATTGGGTTCATGATGAATTGAGTCAACAACCTTCATTGAACCTGGTTTTACCACAAAGACCAGAACATATATTAACAGGTAATTAGATCGACATAAATATCGATGAAGTCCATAAATAGATTAAAAAAAATTTTTTACTTCCCAGATTATTTTTTATATTTGATGTTTTATATAAACTTTATTTTAAATTTAAAAAAATTAAATATCGCTCCGATATATTTTATATTTCACAATTGTATTGAATAAAATTTTCAAATATTTCATCTTTCAAAATAGTATTTTTTAGATAAGAGTTTACATATCTTGAAGTTAGTACATACTTGAATATTTAAATTATCACCTGAAATATTTGATCACCTAGATTCTTAATATTTTTTTAAATTTTAAATATATAATTTTCCAAAATGTTTCAGAACATTTTAACTCAAACTTTAAATGAATTTAAGTAGCTATTTATATAGTTTTTAATTGGTAAATATTAACAATTTAAATAAAATCAATAATACCATCTTTCAACACACATTTTAGATTTAATTTACAAATTATAATAAAAATTTGAAAAAGCAAATTTAAAATTTAAAATTTAAAATGGCAAATTTCACAGAATTTGAATAAAAAAATCTAATTTTTAAATGGCGATTTATTTTAATTTCTTAATTTCTAAACAGATATCTTATAAATTAAAAAAAAAAAAATTTTAAGAAATTAATAATACTTTATTATAGAATGTAATGTAATAGTAATTTTATAATACGCTCATTTATTATCAAGCCAAATAAATTAATTAAAAATAATTGAGAATCTTCAGATTTTAAAATAGTAGATTTGCTTCTTATTTTTAAATGATAAATTTCAAATTTGTTATTAACTGAATATTCTTCATTCTCTATTTTAAAATTTTAAATGTGTTTCTATTTTTGAATAACATCAATTTTAATAATTTTCAAATAACTTTGTTAAAATGAAAAAAAAAAAATTCAAATTCCAAATGGTAATTTCTGTGTTTTTTAAATGATAGTTTTCATATAATGAATAAATACATTCTCAAACATTTTAATTACTATTTAAAATAGTTTTAATTCTGAAATCTAAAGTTTCTAAATTTCTGTTTAACAAATGGCAATTTTATAATGACAAAAGTTCAAATTTAAAACTGTAATGAGGTGAATTTTCAAACTTTTCACGTGTGAATTTTATAACTATCAAATTATAAATTCGAAAAGTTTCAAGGGCAAAATACAAAGTTCTAATGGCAAAATTTAACCTATTTTGTACCAAATAGTTTCATAAAGTTATATAAAACGTAATTTGGAAATGTTTTATCTAACTTTTTAAATGACAAATTTTAAATCCAAGTTATTAATTGAATATTTTCCATTCTCTATTTTGAAATTTTAAATGTATTTCTATTTTAGGTTAACAAATTTTAATAATTTCGAAATAATATTGTTAAAATTAAAAAAAATAAATAAAATAAATTTCAAATTCCAAATAATAACTTATGGTGTTTTTGTGAAATGAGCTTACATATCTTAAAATGATACATTTCTAAATATTTAAATCATCGTCTAAATTATTTTTAATTCTGAAATATAAAGATTCTAAATTTTTTTAAATTTCAAATTTAATGAGGTGATTCTCAAACTTCTCTATGGTGAATTTTAAAACAAATCAAACTAAAAATTAAATTTTTCAAGTGCAAATATAAAAGGTCTGGTGGCAAAAATTCATATTTATACCAAATTGTTTTAAAAGGTTTTAACAAAAATTTCCTAGCCGCGATTTCTTGAAATGTGCAAAATTCTATATTTAAATTAAAAGAAATAAGGTTAAAAAATTTAAGTTAAACAAAAATATAAGTTTAAAATTCCTTTACAGCTCTGTTCAGTTTTCAATTTTCATCAGTTATCGATTTTTCCAATATTTAATCAATTCCAAGCAACAGTAGCAAAACAAATAAAATAACCATTCAACAACGCAAAATATTACAATTACTTAATTGTATAAATTTTAATTAAAAAATATTCATAATAAAAACAAGGCAACGTTTATATTCCGTGGGCGAAATTAATGAAATAGAACAAGAAATAGGAAGCTGTAAAACTAAAAACAAAACTAAGTATGAATTGCTATGAAATGAATTAAAAACAGAAATAATTAGAAGGCAAGCAATTGCGAGAACTTTGTGGTATAAATTAATTTTGTAAAATACGGAGGAATTGGAACTGTTGTAATTAATACTAATTAGAAATAAAATCTTGTTTGAAAAATTTTAGTTTATACCTCTGAACACACTTCCAGAATTTTCTTCTGAGTTGAATGTTAAACTTTTAATTTTTTTTACATTTTTTTTTCCTTTTTCAGATTGTATGCACGTCACATCAGAAGACGGTGACTTCTTTTTCAAAAGCAATGGTGTCGAAGATTCTTCAGCAGAAGTTCCAGTTTGTGGTCTCTATTTGATCACAGAAGCCAACATGAGGGTCGAATTGACTATAAGACATTTTGATGTACCTTGCGAAGATGGTGGACTAATTGCAGTAAGTTTTAATTATTTTATACACTATACTTTAAATATTTTTTCCAGAGCCTCCGCCTCTGCATATTTTCAGTCAAAACTATTTTAAAACTCGGGCTAAAAAGCTGAAACTTTTAACCGCAGCTTTTACAAAGTTCATAAGCACTTTTTATCCGAAAAAAAAACTATGTTGTGACACGAACTAAATACAATTCGATTTAACTTTAAACTTTTATTTTGACTACATAATCCTAAATAAAAACTGTCAGGAAACAGATTTAGTCCATTTAAAAAATGCAACATCCATTAATCATTCGTTTATCTCCCACGTGTCGGGATGATGCAAATTCAATTTTAGTTTGTGAATTTTTCTAAAATAAATTATATATATATTATATTTATATATTATATAAAATTCTTCTGTATTGATGTATAAAAGGATAATCCTCCTAAATGATGATTCGGATTTTCATAAATATTTCTGAAGTTTGTTAAGGGAATTTTTTTTAAGGATTTTTGGATTTATAGAAATTTAGTTAGGTTGTAGAAAAAAATGGAGAAAATTACAAGAAACCGCTTATCATTGTTTGATTGAAGTGATCATTGAAATTGAAAATATTTGAGGCATACTTTGACATTAAAAACAAATGAAGACTGTCATTTGCAAACATTTCTATTCACTTATAGGCTTAAACAATATTAAAATGTATTAACGATTATGAATTGAAAAAAAATTTAATGTCTACATTATTATTGCCGACAAGAAGCTGAGATGTGACCAAAATTAAAATAATGTAAGATACATTATATATTTAGCACAGGACTCTCTGTGAATATACCCTTCCTAATTAATTAGACAGATTATTATTTTTAACTAATAAAGTCGTGTTTTGCTTTACTTTACTAAATCACAGTACAAAAAAAAATTTACTCATTCAAAAAATTATTTAGAAGTTTCATTAAAAAAATTCATATATTTGGCATTGGATACGGAATATTAACTCAAGTCAATGGAGGGTTTTGGGTCTGAATTTTTTACTGTACTCTAATTTGTATGATTTTTTGGAATTAGGTTAATCTTACTCTCAAGTTCAGTAAATAATTTAGACTTCTTTGCCACTTTTTTCTAAATTTTGGAATCGATTTTCTTCTAATTTTAATTTTTATAGTGCGGAATTAAAAAATGCATACAACTCTAGATTTTTACCCTTTTTTCACAAATATCTAATTTAAAATAGCCATTTTAGAGATCAAATGAATTTCACTAAGCTTTCAGTTAGTGGGTGCTTTTTTACCAAATTTATATCATATTTTCCATACTTTATGGTAAAAGTACAACCATTTGCATCGCGAAATGTACAATCATTACGACTATAAATATGACCCAGGAACTTTTGTATGTCGGGTGCTTTGCAGCGAGTAAACTATTCATATAATAGGTTGTCAAATATCTCCCCTCCGCTTTTTTGCTCTTGGTTTATAATACAAAAAGGCGGAAGGGAGATATTTGACAACCTAATATTATTTGTTAGTTGCTCCTTTTACTTATGTATCACATTTGCAATCAGTTAGTTATTTCAGTACTATACTTTTTATACTAGGAATATTTTTATGGTAAAACGTTTGCCGGGTATATATATATATATATATATATATATATATATATATATATACCCACAGGTTCTCAAATATCAATGAATGATTTACTACATCTACGGGAGTATCAAATTTCCGTTTTCCAGCCGGTGCAGAATTTCCTGAACTTCCTCTCCGATTCATTTCGTAGTAGAAACGCAATTCTAACTTCAACTTTTACTACTACTTTATACCTCGGATAACCAATTATCCCAAGAATAAAGTTAAGAGTTAAATTAGAGTTTAAATTTTCACTCTGCTCGCAAAACCGCAATTTTAAAACTTTCCTGGAGAACAGGAAAATTTTGGGTAATTATTTATTACGCCGGTGATGGAATTGGAGAAGGTGATGTATATATATATTACATAGGTAAATATATTAGGGTTTACACAAAAACCGATATTTCAGAAAACCGGTTTTCAAATTTTAATTTTCCTAAAAAACCGGTTTTAACCGTTTTTCGAATTTTATATAAAAAATAAATTTTTGCTCGAATATTCTGTAATTTATCCGCAAAAGTGTAATTTAGAGCAGTATTTGACTGAATTTATTTATTGTTCAATTTTATGGATAGTAAACAAAATTATTTTAATTTTAATTAGTAGAACTAAAAAATAACAGTTTATCTTGATTAAATAACTTTGAAAATAATTATTCGTTATTCATGCATCATTTTCACATATAAGAATGGAAATATTTTTATGATAGTGAAAGAAAAATTTTCGAATAAATAAAAATAATACATTTTTAAATAAAAAAAATCATTAAATTAAAACAAAATAAAAAAATATTAGATACATGTTGATACATACTTGTTAATATCAATTTTAGTTTCAAAAACAATTAAGCTAAAATCGGGTATTGTCTGTTCCGAGCAATTTTAATTAATTAATTTTAAACATTCTAATTATTTTTTTAAAAAACGATTTAAAAAAACTATCGTTACTTACTTACTTAGACGTGTCTTTTTTTTACTCACAAAATTTCCTGAAATAGAAAATACTCTCATACTTGCGATCATATTAAGCTTAATTGTTTTTAAAGCCTGATATAATAATTCTAAGTTTTTTGTACTTTAATTTGTGGCTTCTAGGGTTCAAAACTCTTTTTTTAAGTTTGAGTAGAGGAAGTTACTTCTTCAAGAAGAAGTCTGATTTAAATTAATATATACACTGGTATAAAAATCTAAATTAATATATACAAAACTTTTTTGGGAACCATTGCAGACTGATAAGATATGAAATTCTATTGAACCGATATGATTTCAAGAATCAAAACGCTTTCATCTATCTTTTATATTTGATTATATTTGTCATTTTCCATATATACATTAAAAACCGACTTTTTCACTAAAAAACCGGTTTTAGAATTTCATAATTTTCGCTAAAAAACCGGTTTTTAAAACCGGTTTTTGAAAACCGCCAAACCCTAGTATATATGTATATATTGTATCTTATAAGTTACAAAGTGCCTTTGACAATACCCTGCGGAATTTCATTATTTCGTGCACGATGCATAATTTAATTTTGATTTTGAGATTGTAGTACTACACACAGAGAGGAAACCTCAATATGATCCTTTTGAGGCTTTCTCAATCGCTAGTTGAATACAAACTACTTTGCGTTGTTAGTAATACTGTACATATACACAATATTTGCGGAGACTTTGATTTCCTCTTTTGATGTCGACGATACACGGCGGAGGTCGTTGGAGCAGCCGCGATTTAAAATTCATGGCGGCGGAGGAGGAATTCGTTTTCGTGGGAGGCATGGTTGTTTGAATATGCAGTTGATTGTGGTATAGATGGATATTTATAGAAAAATGGTAGATTATATATATATATATATATATATATATATATATATACATATATATAGTGGGTAGTACATTACTAAGGCAGGTCCGTGACTTGTGTTAAACTCCGATTCAAGAAAAGTGCGAGATTTTCCATTGCCATTTTGCACCGCAGTGGCTAAAATGGGCTTATTTCACTTGAAAACATATTTTTGATCTATATTTTCAAATGGAAATTGAATTGTCCACTCCCTTGTATCGACAGGGTCGTGCGTAACATAATCCTAGAATCTAATAAATAGTATTTTCTTGAAATCTTTGTATGGAAATTTTCTGGTATCTCATAAATCCTAGAATCTTATCGTTTTAAAATCACAAATTCTGGAACTTTTTACAAATATTCATTAATATCTAATAAATCTTAAAATCTCAAATTTCGAAATATTGTGAATTCTGAAAATTCATAATTCTTGGAAATTTATAACTTTTGCAATTTCATAAATCCTTAAATCTCATAAATAATGGAAGTTCATAAATCCCAAAATATCATAAATACTGGAATCATAATTTCTTAAAATTCAAATTCCTGAAAATTCTAATTATGGAATCTCATTTTTTGGGATGTCTCATTCTGGAATTTCTAATTCTGGATTCTCAAATTTTGGAATCTTAAATTTTGCAATCCCAAATTCTGGAATCTCAAATTTTGCAACCTCAAATTTTGGAATCTCAAATTTTGCAATCTCAAATTCTGCAAACTCGAATTCTGGAATTTCAAGTTCCGGAATGTCAATTTCTGGAATCTCAAATTCTGGAATCTCGAATTTTGGAATCTCAAATTCTGCAATCTTCAATTTCGGAATCTCGAAATTTGGAATCTCAAATTCTGCAATCTTCAATTTTGGAATCTGAAATTCTGGAATCTCAAATTTTGAAATCTACAATTTTGGAATCTAAAATTCTGGAATCTCAAATTCTGGAATCTAACATTTTTTTATATTGAATTCTGGAATTTAAAATTTTTTAATCTTGGATTCTGGAATTTTAAATTTCGGAATATCATATTCTGGAATTTTAAATTTCGGAATCTAATATTCTGGAATCTTAAATTTTGGAATCTCATATTCTGGAATCTGAAATTTCTCAATCTTATATTCTGGAATCTTAAATTTTGGAATCTCATATTCTGGAATCTTAAATTTCGAAATCTCATATTCTGGAATCTTAAATTTTGGAATCTCATATTCTGGAATCTTAAATTTCGGAATCTCATATTCTGGAATCTTAAATTTCCGAATCTTAAATTTTGGACTCTCGTATTCTGGAATCCCATATTTTGGAATCTTACATTCTGAAATCTCACATTTTGGTATCTCACATTCTGAAGTCTGAAAATTTGGAATCTGATAATTTGGAATATGCTAATTTGGAATCTCAAATTTTGGAATCTTGAATTCTGTAATCTCAAATTCCGGAATCTTAAAAATCGTATAATTTTTATACATTTTAAAATCTAATTACTCATGAAAGCTTATCCTGGAATCTTATAAATACTGGAAATTCATATATACTGGAATTTTATTAATTCTGATTTTATAAATCTTAAAATTTTACAAATTCTGAAATTACATAGACTTAAATTTCATTAATTCTAAAATTTTACAAATCTTAAAATTTTATAAATCCTGAAATACCTTATTAATTGTAGAATCTTATAAATTCCAGAATCTAATAAATTTTAAAATACTACTGAGTTCTATAAATGTTGCAATTGCGTAAATCCTAGAATCTTGTATATCCTGTAATCTTCATAGCCTCTTTAGATTCCCACAAATGAATTTCATAAATAAAATATTTTAATTTTTGGATTTTCTTAAATTCTCGAAACTCAAAACTCTAACTTTGTAGAATCTCATAGATTTTGGAATCTCTTGAATTCTTCAATATCAAAAATCTTAAAATCTCATAAATCTTGAAATATCATAAATCATAAAATCTTATTTTATAAACACTGAAACCTCAAAATTGTCGAAAGATAAATGCTACGAATTGGAAAAAAAGATACAGAAACGTGATAGAAACTTGATTTTTGGTATCTGATATTATGGAACTTATATTTTAGAATCTAAAATATTAAAAACATAAAAATTCGGTATATAAAATTATGGAAACTTGAACAATGAAAATGAACTAATAAAATGTCACAGACATACTTTTAGAAACTAACATTTTGCGAACTAAACGTTAGGAATACTGAAACTTTGTTTGTAATATATTACATGTACTAATAATTAATTGGAATTTTTCATTCTTTGTTCGAGATATAAATCACACACACACACACACACACATATATATATATATATATATATATATATATATACACATATATATATATATATATATATATATATATATATATATACATATCCTTTATCCCTTTTCCCCTTTCAGTGGATCGACGGCTGGGAGCTAAACGGCGAGATCTTCCCTTCGCCTTCGGACCATCCTTCGGCGATGCGGGACCGCGTCGCCGAAATGTGCGGCGCTTCCGGCCCTTCGTCGTCGTCCTCTTCGGCGGCGGCGGCTGCCGCGAGTTCACCGCTCCAGAGTTCCCTGACCGGAGCGCCGCTGACGGGGCGCCACTGGGTGGGAAGGACGCTGAGGAGCAGCCAGAATGCGGCACTGCTCCAGTACAGGGTCGGAGGCAGGGGCCGGGGGTTCGGGGTCAGCGTCAGATACGTTCAGAACCATTCTCGTAAGTAGAATAGAAATATGTATATATGCGTGTATGTGTATATATATATATATGTATATATATATATATATATATATATATATGTATATATATATATATATATATATATATATATATATTCTTAAATATAAAAATGAAGCTCTCGATAAAATGATACGCTAAAACTCGAAAACGGCTAAACCGATTTGGTCAGTGTTAGTCTTGAAAAATTCATGCTAATCAGTAGGTTGTCGGAAAGGTGAGATATTATTTCAAAATCGCGTAGAAACTTTACATTTTTATTTTGAACATTTTTGTAGAAGCGTAATTTAAATAAAACAATGGACGGTGGGTAATACGTAAAATGTCAAACGTTTTGACAGATGATGTTCAAATACGTTTAAAAGGATGTTTTACGTGAATATTATTTAATTATGATTAAATTGTTGTAAGTAGTTTTGTTTGTTATATTTATATACAAAAACGTTAGTAAACGGGCCGCAAGTGTTACTAGAGACTCAAAATATAAACTTTTTTGAAATGTTAATATGAAAATGCACTTTTTGGGGTTTAAGCACTCTTTTTTTGCAAATCATATTTATCTTAAACACGGTGCTCTGAAAGATCTCATTTGTATAATTATATACTCATTGGTATTTATAAAACATTTTCTAGGTTATATTATTTTTTATTTATGTTATTTAAGTTCAGAACCTAAATTTGATATCGATCAAAGGGACATTTTGTCGAATAACATTTTCCCAGTTATAATTTCCCAAAATTTATCGAAGAATAGATAGTAATATATGAAGGTCCGGGGTTAAAAAAGTCCACCACCGATGTGTCAAAAACCAGCAAAGTTAAGCATTGTTTAAGAACTATATTTGAAAGTAGAGAAAAAAAGTATAACCAGCTATAACTTTGATTCTTATGGCTTTGCTATCGCGAGATAAACGGTAATCTTTGAAAATCCATGATGAAAGTATTTTCTTCCGTTGGTAGTTTTACTGCATTAGTTAAAAATGTAATTAATATGTAAAATACCTTTAAAATTAAAATAAGACATTAAACCTGTTTGCCATCTGGCCGTTTCAAGTTACCCCGTCTATGGGGTAAAAAGGTCTAGATAACCAATTTTTGAAAGACATCAAAAAAGCACATTTCTTCAATGATAAAGTAGCTGGCAGTTTTACTGAACGTAGTCAGATAATTGTTTGTTGGAAATGTGTTATTTGTGGTGATATAATTCGTATGATTTTTACAATTTATTTTATATTTGCTCAATGTCAAACTGGACCTTTGTGCTTCGCCCTGTTCTACATATATACTTTTTATTAAATTTACTTCAATTCATCGAATGTTACTTGAAACTTTTCAAAAAGCAGGTCAAAGAAGAAATATTTAATTCATTTTCTATCTCTCCTCGCAAAGATTTAAAAATTTTGTATGAGCTCAGTAGTATTATTTACAATTATACACAAAATCTAGAATCCAAAAAAAATCTGAAAACCTTGAAACGTAATCAATAAGTCGAAAGACCAAAAAAACTTGGATGGATTATAACATGTTTTCTATTTCTGTTTGATATGTATTGAAAAAATACAGACAAACTAATGAGGTTTATTGTTTCTATTATACCTCATTGTATATAGCATTTAAACAACACATCCTTACACACTTAAAGTATTAATATTTTTGATTCTCTAGAAATTGTTTAGAATATACCTTACTTAGCAAAACAACGTTTGCCGGGTTAGTTAGTATATATATATCTATATATATATATATATATATATATATATATATATATAATATTTTATTTCAGCTTGTAATATTCTGGTGGAGGGACTGGCTCCGTCGTATACTTTGAGAAATCACGGAAAACGTGGAAATTGTACCCTGAGTGCCATGTACCCATCTGTTGTCAGAGTCTTATCAATGCAAGTCGGAGATGACAGAGGATTAGAGACTGGCACTTTGCACAAGGTAAATTAAATAATTAATAATTGATAATTGCACTTGATTCCAGACGAGTAGATTCTATTTGTTTATGGAATTTAATCTCGAGATGCAATTCTGGACATCTCATGAACATTGTGTTAATTGAGAGATTTGGCTTCGGTACTACTGTACTAATTAACACTTCACTCATTCAATGAAAATGTGTAATAAACATATGTTATATTGCAATAATTAATATATTTGATTTATAATTCTTGGAACTTCATAACTTTTGCAATTTTAAATCTCAAAATAATTAAATCTCATAAATCCCGTAATCTCATAAATACTGGCATCACAATTCTTAAAAACTCAAATAACTCAAATATTTTGGAATCTCATTTTGGAGTCCCAAATTCTGAACTGTCATATTTTGGAATCTCAAATTCTGCAATCTCAAATTATAGAATCTCAAATTTTAAAATCTCAAATTTTGGAATCTTTAATTTTGGGATCTCAAATTCTGCAATCTCAAATTTTGGAATCTCAAATTCTGTACTGTCGAATTCTGTAGCGTCAAATTCTGTGCTGTCAAATTTTGGAATCATAAATTTTGGAATCTCAAATTTATAATCTCTAATCTCTAAAATTTGGAATCTCAAACATATATATGATTAAAATATTTCACATTTGTAATTAGAAAAGACAAATCCTCTGGTAAAATTATAAGTCTTACATGTGGTTAACGTGATCATTGCTTTTTTATTTATGTAATCAATATATCAGTAATGATAAGATTATCCATATGTTATATCATTTTAATAATGATTTGGCTAACATTTATGATTGTGTTTCTATTTATTATTTCAGTGTCAAAAACGTGGAATTGACGACTTTGTAGAAATTGGAGGCACTGAAGGTTTAGACAGTGTTTCATTACAAAGTATGCCCTCGATATGTGGACAAGATTCCAGACCCGGTAAGTCTTTTTATAGATATTTATGCCTCTGAAAATTGATATGCATTGCATTACATTTCTTTATTTATTTTATATATTGCCTATTGCATTTGAATTATTATGTATGCTTTGAAAATTGGGATTTTCCCATTTTTCGGTAGAGCGACCGTGTATATTTTCTGCATTTGTTAGAAGTTCGCATGGTGAAGCTTTTCCAAAAATTCTCCATTGTCATGATTCTACTTTCATGTCATTGTTTTCATTTTGTAGCTTTTAATTTTTTAATAGTTGATAGATTTTATAGATATTCATGCACATTTTAAATCTCTGCAATTTTCTTAATCAATTTAAGCAATTTTAATATTTCTTGTATACTAGATATTGAATAGATGTATTGTAGCTCATCGTACTTTTAGTTCACTAACATCCTGAAACACCACAAATAAAATTATAATTCTGCGTATTTATAAATTTTTGTGGCAAAATATTTAACTTATCATTGTATTGCTTTTTGTTTACTTGAAACTTTCCTAAACATATTTTTTATGTAAGTTCAATAATGTTTTTAATTTAGTTTCACTAAAATTTTTACAATGTGTAAAAGGCCTTTTATAATGTATAAGGCCATGCAATACCGGTATCATGAAAATATATTTTGTAGCAAATTTTAAGTTCATTATTTTTTTGATTTAGTCCAATGAAGTTTCTCTAAAGTTTAAAAAACCATCTCTACTCATAAATAAATTAATATACTAATTTTCTCAATGTTAATATAATCTGTTGGCATTTGTAATTTCTGCATTAAAATTCAATTATAATATCAGACAATTAAATACACATATTAATTAAATAATAATTATATGCATTTAGTCAGCTAACAAGATTTTGTGGAATTAACGCAGTTTGCAACAAACAGAATAATCAAATTAGAAATTTCATCATTTGATTAATACATAACTGAACAAACTCGTAAAAATTATTTGAAATTAAAATTATCATTGAGAAATATACAAACCGCACATTTGTTATTTTTATTCTTCAAAAATTTAACAAAAAATTATAAATCATTTCTTCTCCATTGCCATTAATAGTATGGAAAATCAAATTTATCAACATAATGAATTTTTTCCATATATTCAACATTTAATATAATATAATCAATATTTAATGTAATTTAATATATCCTAGATAAATATTCCAGTAATATAATTTTAGCCCAAAATAGTTATTTGCACAAAGCGACAAAGTAAATACAAACCTAAAGTCCCGAATAATTAAATATTTGCAGTCGTTATTCTATTTATAATGAATTGGAAATAGATATGAAACAATAGGAATTCAACATAATCTGTTCTCATTTTTTTAAATAATTTTTAATGTATTTACTTTACTTTATAGTACGTATACTACAACAGAATGATAAAAATTCCATTTTTGTTGCAAACATTATTAAAAAATAACAAAAAATGCACTTTTTAAGGAATACGTAAACTACTTTTTAATATTAATATTTTGGTATATTTTTGTTAAGTATGGTGCAAACTAAATTATATTCCCAAACTACATTTGCTTGATTTTATTTTTATTTTTTATAAATCTTGTTATATATATATAATTTAAGGGGTTTAAAATCAAATAAGATTACAACTCGTGGCCTTTGTGGCTTTCGTGGGTTTTGCAAGAGATTTTCCATGGATTATTGTATTATAAAGCAATTAATGATGAAGATTTGAAGCAACACTAACGAAGCGAATAAATTGAAACGCGAAATAATTTATTAAATGAGATTATGAATTGCCATCATAACCTTATAAAAATAATTACACTTGAAATAACTAAAATGAAAAGCAGAGATATATGAGATATATAATTTAAAATATTACCCAAGAAATTCAAGGGTATTTTATCTGTTTTTTTCCATATTAGTTGATATTTTTAATTAAAATTTTTTTTTTCAACGAAATGATTTTCGAAATATTGTTCGATTTTACTTAATAAATTTTCAGAGAGGTATCATTTCGCTTGTTCTTGCTTTTTTGTCTATTTGAATGAAACATGATTCTGCAAAGCGTTCTTGACACATAATCAAGTTTTTATGATTCGTGATCGTTGTTTGATTTTTATTATTAATTTTGGAATTGTAATAATGATGTTTCAGGAGTTTTATTAGATGCTGTCCTGTTTTGCCCACATAAATTGCATCGCAGTCTTTACAATCAATTTTGTATTCTGTTAAAAGAAAAATATTATATTAAATTTAAAATATAATAATAATAATAATATAATAATAATAAAAAAAAATTATATTATATTAAAATTGTATATATATATATATATATTATAATTATATTATATATATATATATATATATATATATATATATATAATAAAATTATTTTTTCGGAGAATTATTATTTATTATCTTGCTATAAATTACTAATTGTACGCAAGCCACAAACGCTTTTATAAATCGCTAATGTTCGCGTACAAGAAAATGATTTTACTTTTTTACGAGTTTCCATAAAATGTAAAAACGCATAAAAAATAATCTTATTAATAAAATTGTATACGATGATACTTCTTGTCTCGTAAATTAGACTTTGGATTTTTTGTACACATATTAATATATATAATATTGTTTCTGCGAACAATCTCATAAGGCTATTATTATATGTATGAAATTGTCGGTGAGAAATCAAAAGTATTTTATGAAGTATTACTTCATAAAGATTAATATTCCTGGCTAGTGTTTTTTTAAATTTTGTTACTTGTATATAAACAATATTTCTACTAAAATCTCGAGCCGTAAATATCAATTGACCTTTTTCTCTTCCATGTAAATATTCTCCAAAATAAAACAGCAGGAGATTTACTTCAAGCTGCGTTTGGGAAACCATTTATTAAAATAGTAGGTCAAAAGTTGATCCTTAAGACAACCTTTTAAGTAATTTATGGGATGCAAAATGGAAAGAATGGACACTGAGGAGTCGTTCATGGTAATTTGAATTTATTGAGGTAAGTAATCAGGATGGATTACTTGAGGATGAGGAAAAATTCTATGGATATACTGATATTTGGGAAGTATCGAGTTGATTAGAATGAATCCATAGGATATTGCTAAGCGCTTAAGTTGAATATGAGTGCAAATAATAGGCAATATAAATCTAAAATCGGTTCAGTAGTTTAGGAGTCCATACAGGACAAACGTCGTGATCAGTACTTTGACTTTGTAAGGCAAAATTGCACCCACTTCTAATTTTTTTGCAATCCCTAACAAAATCAGTTTCAAAATCCAAACATTTCAAGTGTAGAACTATCTTATGTAACACTAGTTGAACTACGTTTACCATAATTAACTTCCCGTAGGGTAGTTATAGTAATGGGCCGAAAATCGAAAAAGAAAATTTTTTCGTTCCTCGACGTTTTGAAGGTTTCTGAATATTTTAGCACACCTTAGAAAAAATGGATGTTTGTGTGTATGTTTTGTATGTCCGCATTTTTCGTCCACGTTTTCGGGCGCACTAATCAACCGATTTCAATGGTTTAAAAAATATTCGATCCCTATTGATAGGAAGATGTGCCGATTAGTTTTTGGCAAAGGCAGGTGCAGCCGTTTCGTAGATACGGAGCAAAGAGTGCAGAAAATACAAATCGAATTTTTGAGAGAACGGAGTATCGGATTGGGAGAAGATGTGATTAGTTTTTGGCAAAGACAGGTTCTAACATTTCGAAAATACAGAGCTAAATGTGGAAAAATGGCAGTTTTTAAGTGAATTAAGCGTCCGATTTGAATGATCTAAAAAACTTTCTGCTCGTATTGACAAAGCAATTGCTTTTGAGGATAAAAAATTGTTACATCTTTTTTTATTTTCCATAAAATATTTTTGTAATTTTGGATTAAAAATTCAATAAATTACCCAAACTAAGCACAGTCTGAGCGCCTTTTTGGTACAAATGTTTACCCAAGTGCGTTTAGACTGTTTATGTACTCCAAAATTATTGAAACTATTGAAAAATGAGAAAATGTGAAAATGCCGCCAAGTTAAGCACAGTATAACTGAAAATGTCGCAAAGAATTATTCGCAAATGCGTTTAGACTGTGACTATACGGGAGCACTTTTTCAATTTTGTGTAAATTAGGCAACAATTTTTTTGAAATTGAATTCGAAATGAAATGACAATTTTTAATGTTCTATAGATAAATAGATTTATGATTTACTCAGATATAACGAGATAGCAAAAATAATGAAAGGGTAAAAATAAACGAGAGGAGTGAAGGTTGAAATACTTACAGTATTTGTAAAAAAACGTTTAAAATTTTTCGAATATTTCATTACAGTACGGGAAGTTCCAGCAATTTGCTTTAAGGCACGATGCAATACACTCAACTAGTTTAATATTGGCCTTGTAAAAGAATAAACTTACCAGATATGTCCATTATTAAATCAACCTGCACTCCTCTCGTTTATTTTTACCCAATACCCAAAAAAATCTTCCATCCTACCATCGAAGTTTATTTCTCAAAGTGGTGTTGCCTGATGCGATTACGTGCAATCATTTTCCTTCAAGGGAAAGGCTAAGCCTTAAAATGTTTCTATAAAAAACATCCATTTCCCAATATGTCACATCTTGTATGTATCAGGATGTGTATTTATGTCTCCTGTTGAGTCAAAAGGAGGCGAAAGGAGGCCTTTTTCATTGTTCAAACAGTATGCGGCATAAAAGTCTTATGGGGTGATGTATTGCGGAATTTTAATAGGAGTTGGCAGTTGTTGACAAGGCGAGGGTCGAGGAATAAAATATACTTGAGTCGTATCTTTTATCTCGTGAGTGAATTTTAGTGTACTTGGTACAAGGGTGAAGAACTAAATTTTTGTTTACTAGATTTTTATACGTTTCGAGGTTCAGTTTGGCACTTCTTATGTGGGTAGTTTTGTCATCTAAAAATTTGTGATTGACCTTCAGTGATTCTTATTTCCATCGAGAGAGATTTTGCATGACAAAAGCATTTCGCACTATATTGAGCGTTTAGTGAAATGTCATGGGCGGATAGAAACGTCATTCGATTATTAAATTTTTTTTATTGTGTTCAATGCTTTTTGACGTTAAGGTCATTTTGGTTATGTAATTAGATCATAAACAAGGTGTGTATGGCACCGTGTCTTAAGGCTGGAACTTCCCATAATGATCTTTCAAGGAATATTAAATGTTTTCAAATATATTATTATAAATACTGTTACTCATATATGTATTGCAGAAACGTATTTTTTTTTCTTTTAATTTCAATATTTATTACAACTGTTAAATAATTAACATCTAGTAATATTGATAAATAATAACATAAATTTAAATAAATAAAAGTGTAAAGGATAGAATTTACTTGAAAATAATATCCGTAATATGATAATTTAATATAAAATAGAAGCAAATAATAATAAAAATAAAATTAATAAATAATATAAAAAAAATTCTGAATAATAAAATGATACAGGAACGTAAAGAAACAAATCTTAATAAATCGTATTAAAAATAAAAGACATTGTCTTATATTTAATATAAATATATAAACTAAATTGCAGAGTTAAAATCATTTATTTGTAGTATATATAAGTGAGCTTTAGAACTTTAGCTAGAATTAAAATTAAAATTCGAGTTAATTTTGAATTAATGAATTTATTTTGGAAATTTAAGAAAAAAATCTTTTTCCAAAAGTAATTATTTTCTCAAACCAAGCAGAAAGTTTTTTGATTCATTCAAATTAGTTACGCTTAGTTCTCTCAAAAACTGCCATTTTTTGCACATTTAGCTCGGTTTCTCTAAAACAGATGGACCTGCTTTTGCCAAAAACTAATCGCTACTTCTCCCCATCATTACAAATTGATTGCCTTTTAAATGATTCAAATCGGATGCTCAGCTCTCTCAAAAACTCGTTTTCTATTTTCTGCACTCTTTGCACCGTAACTCCAAAACGGCTGGACCTGCCTTTGCCAAAAACTAATCAGCACATCTCCCTATCAATATGAATCGAATGTTTTTTGAACCATTTAAATCGGTTGATCCGTGCGCACAAAAACGTGGACGAAAAATTGTATCTATAAGGACGAATACACACACACACATCAATTTTTTCTGAGGTATGCCAAAATGTTCAGAAACCTTCAAAACGTGAAGAAATGCAAAAATTTTCATTATCGTTTTTTGGACGATTACAATAAGTTACCCTAAGATAGTTAAAAATAACACGTTGATTGCCATGTCAGTACATTAATATGGGGTCATGTCAGTCGCTTATGTGTGATATAAAAAATAGTACTTTCAGAAATTTTGACAACAAAATTTGTTCTTAACTAAATTATCTAATAAAGCTAACATCGTGGCCCATGTGATTTTTTTATTTTATCGTGGCAATTAACGTGTTACAATAATTTCACAGATTTTTATAAAAAATCTTACAACTATTCCAATTTGTTGGTACTATACTAATGCAGATAATGCTAATTTTTAAAAAACATCGACCAAGATTTTTTAGATCTGTCTTGCTCGATCACACATTTCGTATCGCTCTCGTCAATTGATTTTTATTGTTAGATAATTAAAAAATTGTTGATTTTAAGACCAACTAAAATTGTTTACAGAAAAATCATCTATAAATACTATTTGTCCGTATTTCGATATAAATAAACCAAAAAAGTAATACTATAATCGTTCTATTCAATACGCGAATCCAAAATATAAAATCGGTTTATTCTATTTATGAATCTTTTGTCCCTCGATTAAGATGTTTCTAAGGTTTCATTTGTGACGTAAATCATTTGTAATATTATTGTGACGGTTACGTAATACTTGAAAAGCTATTAAAGCTATATTTGCTGTAATTGTTTGATGGTTATAATGGTGAATTGTGAAACTTGAAACGAACCAGATTATAATAAATCAATGTAAAAGATATGTTGCTAAAATGCGAAAATAACATGACAATATTATAAAACCTTTATCCACCTCCAACTTTTCTTCTGTCAATAATTTACCTTTGAGTTAACAAAAGGGAAACAATTTAAGTTGTTGGAAATCTCATTAGGCGTGTAATCGCGTCTTGTTTTATTCAAAGACGATGAAATTATATTAAATAACAATTTCGATTTTATCACTCACGATGGAAATATTCAATTTTACTTCCAAAACTTTTAAACAACCCACACCTTAAGGGAAACAACCTTAAAGGAAAATATTTGAATAGACAATTTTATCCTTTAATTTTGATTGAAGGTTCATGTACAATTTTTGAAAACTTTAAATCAGAAATTATCTAAAAATTGTCAGAGTAAAAAATTGTTGAAATTTTCAAAAATATTCAAAAATTATATTTGATATTTTGAATATTTTTGAAAAGTCGAACAATTATTTATTCTGATAAATAATTTGATTATTTTTGTCTTAGAATTTTGTGTTACAAAATTTTATTTATTTTAAGAGATTATTATTATTTATTTAATAAGCTCGGTATTATATGAGGTATGCTAAGGCTCTAAAACGGCTGCACCAATTTGGCCATTTTTAGTCTTGAAATATTTGTGCTAATGCACAAATGTAATTATTTCAGAACCGCGTAGAAACTTCACAATTTTATCTTTTTTTTGTAGAAGCGTAATTTAAAATGAACTGCGCTCATACGTCAAATGTCGGATGATTTTAACAAATTATGTTCAATTAAATTTATTATGATGTTTTAGATAAATATTAGTTAATTTTAGTAAATAGTTTTATTAATACACAAAAACATTATATTAAAACATAAATACTTAATTAATAACTTAATTCTGGTCTAAAAAATGCAGTCTACTGACGAGCAAATTTAATTTCGTTCAAAAAATAAAAAGGGACTCTACTGACGAGCAAACTTAATTTTAGTCAAAAAAATAAAAAAAATACGAGTAAATTTATATTGACTAAAAAAAACAAAAAAGGGACTCTACTGACGAGCAAACCTAATTTTGGGCTCAAAATAAAAAGTTGACTCTACTGGCGAGTAAATTTAATTTTGTTCACGAAAATATAAAAAGGACTCTACTGAAGATGAAACTATTAGATAATCTATAGCTCTATCTTTTGTTTTATGCAAAAAATATTAGTTGAATGTTGAATTATCAATATTAGGCTTGGTTTTGTTTCGTATTATTTTTATTATTTGTTTTAAGGATAATTTATCTAATTTATTATATTTCTCCTATATTTTGTGCATTCCATGCCTTGCTTTTTATATTTACAAAAAAAAATTGAAGAAAGTAACAATTATGAAAAGTTAAAACCTTAAATTTGATAATTTATGTGGTATCTTTTTGTGGCTTAAAAATATTGTTTGTGATATATTTTTTTGCAATTTTGTTTATTTAAACCGGTGTTCTTCACACACAGTTACAAAAGTAGTATTTTCATGTTGTGTTAGAATTTCTGTAGTTTTTTGTATCGATGTGCTTTCATATGTGAATTGGAGAATAAAACAGATTTTTTACAAAAATGAAGGTAAGTGCAAGAAGCTTTTTATACTAAATTTTTATTAAATGCAGTTTTTTTAATAATTCAAACACTTGAATTATTATTTAAATAGTTAAATGTTTGAGTGTTTTAGTTTCAATTATTTTTAACATATACTTCAAAATCCCTAAAGGTTAATTTTGTGATACAAAGTGTAAAAATATTAAATTGGAAAATAATTTTAAGAATATTTAAATTTAGTATTAATAATTTGTCTTTTCTATTATTATTATTATTATTTTAGGGAGAGAGCAAGCGATTTTCTGCGGCGTGAGCACGGTGCGACTGCAATCTAGCGGCCGTTACAACAACCAAATTACTTTGACATTACGGCCGGCAGAGGAGCAAGACTACAGCGCCATGTCGGCGGTCGTGTGCGGTGTCTGAATCAACAATTACAATGCAAATAAATAAAAATTTAAAAAATGTATTAATAAAGACTAATGGAGCTTTGCAACGACCATCATACTGACTAATTCATATTCAGTCCGATAAGAGAATAAAAAATGGTTTTTATTCACTTATTGGAATTGAATATGAATCTTATTATTTGATTATCAAATTTTTATTTATTTTTTTGATTATGTTAGATTTATGATGTTTTGGAACTAAATAAGTACCATCATCAGGTCTATTAGTCAAGAACTATTTTTTTAAAAACTATGTTAATAGTTATTTTGATGATCAGGTTTTTGAGGATCAGTCAAAGCTTATAAAGATGTGCATTAGGTACTTTATGAAAAAAGACAAATAGTGAAGATAAAATTACATACAATTTTTCTTGTTTATTACATTTATCAATATATTTGAAACAAATAGATTGATAAATTGAATTGATAACAAAGAGGTATCATTGCGCTTGTTAATGCTATTTTTTGGCAAAGGAACATGGTGATGGAACGTATATAGTTCCGAAACATCGTTAATGCTTAAAACCTTAGAATGTCTTTTGTGTTTTTATTCATTTATTAGATTATTTGAAAAAACAGTGAATTATTTTATTAAAAATCACCTACCAAATATAAAATAAAAAATTATATGTAATGTTTGTTAAATCGTTTCTGAGACAAAGCACATGCGCCATCTTTGTATATGTTCTTCTAACTAAATTTAACTTCTTGAAAATTGTTTTAGTTTCTTGTGCAAACAAAAAATACTAATTTATATTCACATAATTATTAATACTAATTGCTATAGATCATTCTGATTCTACGATAAAGTTGCAGGCTCCTTCTACTGTAATTGATAATGAGAAAAAAGATTTAAAAACTTTAAACATGGAACAAACTTTACAGTTAATAAAAATTATTTGTGCATTTAAATTTTACTTTAGTCACATTGTTTATGTAAAAAATTATAGTGGTTGAAATCTTATCTATCACTAATTTCTTATGGGTTTGTTAAGATTTTTTTAAAACTACTGCTGGCATCTATATGAAAACTGTAGTACTGCAGTCATTGATTTGTTTTTAAACGGATGGTACAAATTCGATAAAAGTTTTTGCTTGATTTAAGCAAATTTACTGAGGGTAACAAAAAAATTAACAAAAAATTAATTAATTGTTATTTCTGGAAATACAAGTCAACTTAAAATTTGTATGTAAATGTTAATTTCTGTTTGTATACCATAACACAAATTTTTCAAATATATATATATATATATATATATATATATATATATATATCACAAATGATTAATTGTTTTATAAATGCATATTGATGCCAAAGTTTCCAAAGTATGATTTTTAAAGAGCTCTTTAAAATGAGAATACAAATACTACTTTGAATATAATTTAAATATACTGAATTTTCATTTATTTATTTTTTTTAAATAAATTTCAAAGCATTTTGAGTAAAATTTAATCAAAATTTTAAATCAATGAAGCAAAGTCAAGATAATATTTTTGTTTAATAAAGTAATAAGTAGTTTTGCGTCGAATTGTGACTGCAGCAAATGTTACTTTTAAAATGTGTTATTTCTATAAAAATTCAAAAATTTGATATATTTTTTTTATATATGTCTAGAAATATATATTTTGGTTTTTAAAAAAATATTTATTAAATTTTTTACATAATTTTTTATGCAAACTCCAACGTGACTAAAGTAACTTTTATAAAAACTTGTTTTTTATAATTTTGTTTTTATAAAAACATTGCATTTGTAGATAAAGGAAAGTTAATTTATAATATAATTATTAATTAATATTCTAATTATCAATATTTATTAAACCATTTAGAAAAATCATCATAAAAATTCGTTTTATCTAAAATATTTACTAAAACAATAGATTTTTTTTACAATGTTAAAACACAGTTTTACTATTTGATTTAACATTTTCTAAAATATTTACTAAAATAATACCAATTTTTTTTACAATGTTAAACAAAACATATTAAAACACGTGACAACATCTAGTATCCACAAAAAATTGCTAAAAAATATAATATATATACTATAATATTATAAATTTTCAAGGAAAACTTTGTTTTTGCCAGAACATTCGATTTTACTTTATTAGTATACTAAATTTAAATTTAATATTTTAAGTCATTCTGAATCGTTTGTCAGAAAAAAAAAGGAAAAGCAAGATGATTGTTTGTAATTATAAATTGAAAGTCTTTCCAAAAATTTCAAAAAAATGTTCAATGAATATATTTGTTTGATTATTTAATTATTATTATTGAGATGTTGTCACACAAAACTATTTATATATTATCATATTTATTTTGTATATATTTTCTATGATAAACCTGTAAATTATTTATAAAAAGAAGCCAAAAAAAGAATTTGTAGTGAAAAAATATTTCAAATCTGAAACACAAACTGAATGTTCTGAATGTTAATTATATGTGATTAAAATAATAAACATTTATTGAAATATTAAAAAAAAACAATACAAATTATGGTAGATAGTATATAATAATTGAAGTTTTATTCAAATTAATTTAATAATTATTTTATTTAGAGTGGGTTATAATTTTGAAACAGAATACTATTTCGTTGGCATAATTGGATATATGGTTATAAAGTAGTGTGTATTACTGCTGCTTGATACCAGGGTGTCCAGAGAGCTAGATAAAACCTAGTATCTTGTACATATAAATACTAATGAACTACTTGTCTAAGATTACTCGACAATTTTAACAAAAATGTAGCATGATTCTGCAAAGCGACTCTTAGACTTAATCAGATTATAATTTTTTGTATATAATCAGTGATCATAGTTAGATGATTAATACTTATTTATATATATATATATATATATATATATATATATGTGTGTGTGTGTGTTTGTATGTATGTATATGTAATCCATAAGTCCTCTTCCACTGGCATCATGTTGACAGAGATGATCTTGTTTTGCGTTGATCTCGTAAAAAGGATGTATTTGATACTTTTTCTTGTCCTTGTGTTAGTACAAATATATTTCGATAGACGTTTTATTGCCCAGTGGCGTAGATTTAATTTTTCTTGGATTTCATAATATAAATGTATTAATAATTATAATTTCTTTTGTGTTCATGGTGATAAAGAAATTTGTTTACCAAAATGTTGATAAAGGAAAATTAGTTCGTACACTTTTTTTTAGCTGTGGCTTCAATTCTTTTTAATACTGTTTGGAAAATATTTTTGAAATTTTTTTTATCACCAATGGAAAAATATTTTAATTATTTTGAGATAGAAACGCAGTATTTTGTATTCCATATACAATTACTAAATTTTTTAAGCTTATACTTCTCCTTGTGCTAAACTATTATACTAAAATCGAATTATAACTAATACTAAAACGATCGTACGCAACATATGCGTGCGCAGCTTTTACTGCGTTAAGGGCAAAGGAAATAAGTCCAAATTTTTAAAAATTTATATATTAATATTGATATTTGCAGAATCAAAATTAACCTTATCTTTTCTATTTTTTTCATTGTGAACTTTTATAATGATATTTTTTACTTTGGATTCATATATATATATTATAAAAAGTGTACTTAACGAATTTTCAGAAAATCCGACTTGGTAATGTCACTATTTCTTGACGTTTCAAGTCATTCAGAATCGTTTGAGATCAAAATTGCTAAATCTGTGTGTGTGTATGTGATTTAAAATTTTTGTGGACATTTCGTCAAAAATGTCTGGACCGATTTGAAAAAAAAAAACAAAACCATTTGATAAAACTTGAGCAATAAATCTCAATTGGTACTGATTTATAAAGCCCATGACGAGTTTATACGTCAATTATAAAGTTAGTTGCGCTGCTAAGATACCGAATTTATTTTGAAAAATTGAAAAATATTACTAGGTTTTACATATTAACGAATTACAATTTTAAATATCAGTTAATTTGTTTAATTTTTATTTAATTGATGAGGCAATGCTTGTTTATTAGTAGTAAAAACTTTGAAAATTTATATCTATTTGCTTTGCAAGTAAGGAAGAATCTTATGGTAACAGAATCTTCGAAGAGACTGCGATGGAAAGTTTTTTTTTCAAAATTTTAATTTAAAATTTCCAACAGTCACTTCTTTTTTCTACGCCACTGTTCTATTCTCGAGCAAAAGTGTTCCTTCCTTCCTTTTTAAGGTTTTATAATGTTCGAAGCGTAGCCAGTTGACGGATCGTGATTCGAATATTTTCCAAAAGTTTCCTTAATGCTACTTTTCACCAGCACACAAGACGAGAAAAGAAGCTTCAATGGAAAAGTTTTGTATACAGAAATTATTCTAAACATTATCATTTGAATAAAATAAAACTTTCAGTCGATATGGTAGGTCAGGAAAATTGATAGAAACGAAATAGAAATATGATAAAATATTTGGGAAATAGAAAGAAAAGTTTTTAAAATGTCCTAATCTGTTAAAATATTTTTTTAAAACTTTTAGAATTTTAAAGTTTGATGTTTTCAAAGTTGTTAGATTATTATAAATGAAAAAAACGATTAAAAATATCAAACTATTTTAAAAAATGATATAAAAATAGAAGTAATATATACGTTTTTAATAGTCATCAAAAATATTATTAAAAGTGTAGAATTTTGAATGCATGATGAAAATTATACGATTACTAAAATGACTATAACGAAATAGGAGTTTGTGGTATAGGGGTCAAAATTTATGGTTGTTTTTAAAAAAATTTTTTAACTTCCCGTAGGGTAAGTTACAGTAACCGCAGAAGTACCAAAAATATTGTTTGTACAAATCTTTGTTTCAGAAATTTCTGAACATTTTGCTATACCATAGAAAAAATTGTTGAATGTGTGTGTACGTATGTATGTATGTATGTATGTATATATGTATGTATGTATGTATGTAATTCTGCAGCACCTCTTTTTTCTATTAGACTTTGTAACTGTTTTTTCCTCCAGTCGGAGGGCAATTCGCATGTTAATCCCGGCGAAGCCCCCCGAGGCATTCTAATCGGATTATTATTCCAACGACGGACAATAGAAAATTTACAA